CCGGGCGTAGGGTGGGGCGACAATAGGAATCAAAGTTTTACACTGAAATATATATATGAAAAATCTTTAAAAGCTTCTTTTTAAGAACAGCAAAGTCTTGATTGGTCGTATTTATATGGAAGCATGCTCAGAAAGTGTAGAATCAAGTTTGTTCAAATCAAGACCCCCGGGGTAGGGTGGGGCCAATGGGGGATCAAATTTTTCATAGGAATGCATAGAAAAAATCTTTAAAAATCTTCTCAAGAACAGCAAAGACACGATTAGTCATATTTATACTGAAGCATCCTCAGGTAGTGAAAATCCAAGTTTGTTCAAATCATCTCCCCCCGGGGGGGGGGGGGGGGGGGGGGGTAGGGGGCCACAATGGGCCATCAAATTTTTACAATAGAATAACAGATAAATATATTGAAAAATATACATAAGCCATGATTAGTCGTATTCATATTATGGAAGTATCCTCAGATAGTATCGATTCAAGTTTGTTCAAATCATGACCCCCTCCCTTCCCCGCACCACTTTAAGCTTCAATAATGACCGATTTCTGCTTTTTCTTACACCAGCCATAAAAAGAATTGAATGCCACTCCAGTTTTTTTTTTAAATTCCATCCAATTCCGACCAAACAATGCTGGTCCATTTCCGTTAACACCAACAATAGATAAAGTTTTCTTTTGTGTCTGATACTCACATTCACTTTCACTTCACCCAGTACTCCTAGCATTTCTCCTGAATATGTCTTAAGAATAACATCACTAGGACACAATTTTACTTTGTTCTGTAAATGAGTTTTGTATAGCTGTTTGGATATCACTGAAGTAAAAGCACCAATGTCCAAATCCATTTCAATGTGTACATCTTCCAATGTTACAGAAATCTTCATTTCTTTGGCTCCTCCTTTCTCCACTGAGTGAGAAAATGGACCAATGTTTATTTCTACTATTGTCATCTGAACACTCTTGGTTTTTGGACTCAAGATTTAGCTTGGACTTTTCCTTTTGTTTCTTATGCTGCACAGATTTCTTTTTCGAGTTATATGTCCTTTTGCTTGACAAATGTGACATTTACTGTTCTTGTAAAAGCTCTTGTCGGGTAGTGTGGTTAATCTTCCCACATCTAAAACACGGTTTACCTTTCACAGCACTAACCTTGTGTACGGTTTCATGTCCATGGTATCCTGAGCATCAGCCTTTTGTTTTCGGGCTTCGTTCTCCGCGAGTTCCATAGAAATTGCTATGTCCACGGCCTTCTTTAACTCTGTTTTGTCCTCAGCCATGCAGTTTTTTCCGCTGGGTTGCCACTGATGAAAGACCACATACTAAACGATCCCGTAATGCTTCATTCAGAATTTCACCAAAAGCACAATGTTCACTAAGTTTTGCTAAGTTCAGCAGTTTATTGACTAACAGTTTCCTGTTTTCCCTGATTTCTCTGGTGAAATCGGAATCGTTCCGCAATTGCAAGAAGTTTTGGTTTCAAGTGTTATATAGACTAACCGTTTCCTGTTTTCCCTGATTTCACTGGTAAAATCGGAATCGTTCCTCAATCGCAAGTAGTTTCGGTTTCAAGTGTTATGCTATCAGTTTTCAACCCAGCATAGTTTTTTTTTAATGGCTTATTTGGGGACGTTAAATTACTAATGAGTCCGTACGTTTTCTGTCTACATACTGTCAACAATATAGACTTTTTGTCATTATCCTCAATTTCATTGGCAGTTAAAAATGTTCTAACCTTTCAATGTACTCGTCCCAGTTCACGTCGAACTCGTAGTTCTCTATTTTTCCGTAGACAGCCATAGTATTTGCGGTTGTTGCCTCTCATTTCTAACCAGTTTATGTGATAATTCCTCTCCTGGAGACTCCAGGTGCCTGAAATCTGATGGTCGTTCAGATGAGCTCCCCAGCCTTGTGAAGAAGCATCTGTCCACAACGTCTCATTGTGTGGCTGCTTCTCTTGTAAGGACACTCTCCAAAAAATGTTTCCTGTTGTTTCCTTCATTCCAGGTGTTGGATTAATGCTTCCTTCACTGGAAGAGTTTACAGTATACTGTCTCTGTGTGGGCGCCAAAAAAAAACAACAGGTAAAACTGTATTGGGCGCATGTGTAATCTGGCCAAAGGAGTCAAATCATTAGGCCCAAGAATCGTAAAATTCTCTAAGCTAAAACACTCTCCTTGTCTGATATTATACTAATCTCTTCTACTATTTACTGGTACCTCTCCTCTGAAGGAAAGACTAGGTCCCTCCTTGTGTTGAACACTGACCCCAGATAGTGTATAACTTGTGATGGGTTCATGTTGGACTTCTGTACGTTGACAATTAGACCCAAATTCTGAATCAGCTGAGGGACCTCGTCTAATTGCAATTGACTCAACAGCAATGCCCTGCACTGACTCTTGATCGACCAATCTTCCAAATACATGAACTTTCTGTGGTAACTTCCGATTATTGCCATCAATTCGGTAAAAATTCTTGGGGCTATCGCCAACCCGAATGGCATTGCCTTGAATTGGTAATGCTGACCTTGCCAACAAAACCTCAGAAATCTGCAGTGTGCTGGACACACAGCTACATGAAGATAGGCATCCTTTAGATCTAGAGACAATGCCCGGTCTTCGGGATCTATGGCCCATACTATACTTCTTAGAGTCATCCTGTGATGGCATCCTAAATCTCGTCGCCAATTGTTATGTTTGTTAAGCGGGCTCGTTGATACAACACACAGGTACTTGGGTCTGTGATACAACTCACAACATTATGATTTCGTGTAAATGGCTGCTTGCCAACACACATTACGGAAAGCATGGTAATTATATAAATGATGAACCAATATGGTCTGAACTCTGGATTTCCGTTATAATGAACATTACAGTTACTAAATAGAGAATAATCTAGAGAAAAAATATACATACTCGTGTTAATTTCATTTATTACCTAACCTATATAAATTGTAATCAGGCATTTTGAACTGTTAATGTTTTAGCATATCATCAAACAGTCAAACTGTTTAACCGGTCACAGAATGAACTGTTGCATGGCTGAACTGATCCGTTATGCCGTCATAATTATTTTCCCGTACTTTACAGCTATAATATTGAATTATGTAGAAAATGAAGCATTTTCATGGCATTCAATTTGAAATTATCATTTGAAAAGTAATGATTCTAATTAAATAACACTATAAATATATATTCAATTTAACATCACTTCAAAGAAGAGGTCAAGAACACATTTCCGAGGGTAATTTGGGGAAAATGTAGGCCCCTTTCACTCGCTATACATGTAGATCTTTGCCTTAAATGTCTGACTCAGCATGTCATATTCAAACGTCAAGTTATCATTATGTTTACTAAATAATATATGTATACATCAATTTATTAGTGCATGATAATATTACTCCATTAATCTTTCTGATTTAACACCAATCGGTATTAGAATTTGATTAATATTCATCTTGTTTAATTCTTTGCATTAAATGTCTGACTCAGCATGTCATATTCAAACGTCAAGTTATCATTATGTTTACTAAATAATATATGTATACATCAATTTATTAGTGCATGATAATATTACGCCATTAATCTTTCTGATTTAACACCAATCGGTATTAGAATTTGATTAATATTCATCTTGTTTAGTTTGATTTCAAGAAATGCTACAAACTGTTGTTGATGTATTTTAAAATTCATCGATTATTATATCTATATGAGTACTTGGAGAAATTATATAGTAGGTTAGATAATAAAACACTTATTTCATGACAACTCGGGAAACACTCAAACTGTTGTCCCTCGATAATGGGGTAGACCAGGGAAATGTTGCCCTTGGCCTTCGGCCTCGATCGGGCAACAGTTTCCCAGGTCTTCCCCATTACCGCGGGACAATAGTTTGACTGTTCCCTTCGTTGTCATGAAATAAGTGTATAATGATATTTTTACAGTTTTGTCTTACATAATGATAGCCATATGTGTGCATGAACTGTGAATTTTGAGCCACAGGATCGTCAAAGATACTTGGTTGTATATAACTTTGCAAGCAATATAAAATGTCTAAGAAAATAAGATGTAATTGATATATATGCTTTGCGATTACAGATATATATATATATATATATATATATATATATATATATATATATATATATATTAGGGATGGCAATCGAATACAGAATTGCTAATCGGTTAACCGCGAGACGTTCCGACCGATTAACCGGTTAATCGTATTAAAAAAATTCTCGACATATTTCATCATTGTAAGCTCTAATACACAACACTATAAAGATGTCCTGTGTAGTAATATTATGTTTATATTTGATCGGAACACTGTTTTTATTATGTTTCAATTTTTTAATAGGTAAAAGGAAAAAAAAGAAACCAATAAAACATGTCTGAAGTACCAGATGCATTTAAAAAAATCAGTAGAAATATCCCGCACGATCATCCTACATTTTAAGCTATAATCATAAGTAAGCCTGAACTTTGGCTTAATTTGGAATGTTTATTTAATAATACTATTAGATAGGTAATTGCAAAGGGTAGAATAAGTAAGGTACCCATTATAATCAGTTCACGGCACTCTATAATCATTTAATTAAAATTGTAAATGAAACACGAGACGGACTGTGTAACAACGTGGTGTTTAAACAGCAATTAGGATATGGAAAACTGACCAATTACCCCCACGATGTCAACGATGTCAATCTGGAGAGCCTTACTTATTTATGAATCCGCTTAGACAATGTTGAAAATGGAAACATTTCAGATATTTTCGTTTAAATATTATTTGCATCGAATTTTCAGGGTATTGTGGTCAAATTTACATATATATTATTTTTTCCGACTAACCGATTACAAATTTTTTAACCGATTACCATCGTTCCGACCGAGTAACCGGTTAACCGATTAAAAACTGCCATCCCTAATATATATATATATATATATATATATATATATATATATATATATATATATATATATATATATATATATATATATATATCTTCCAGCTGTCTTCAACCTTGGAGTGATACATGTACTTGAGATGAAATACTTCCGGAATGAACTTGAGCATAGCTTTCCTCCTCTTATTCTACAAGGTAAATAACTTAATTTGTGTTAGCTCTCTACATAATGATATATTCTTTTTATATCTTTTTTAAATCCGAAATTATTCTATTCAACAAAGTCAAAACGGCATCATATATTAGAACTGTAGCCCTTTCCACAAAAAATCTTAAGTTTTTTGCGTAAGATTTTAACTTAACAATCTCTTACGACAAATCTTAAGTGCGTTTCACGAACGCATTCGTAGCAGATTGAACTTAAGATTTTACTTACGACAGATTTCATCCCTAGCAACGACTTCAATATGCTTTATAATCCTTAAATAAGTGGGTGAAAATAAAAATAAAGCTAAGTTTTCAACATTTGTCAGCATAACAAACATTATTGACAACAAATATCGAATGCAAGCGTTTGTGAAGCAAGGAAGTTTAAAATCTGACGTCACAATCACAAATCTGACGTAAAAGAAGGTCATACGAAAATCTTAAGTGAAACTTACATCGTAAATATTTTGTAGTGTATTTCATTTGATTTTTCGACAATGATTGTGAAAAAAATATAAAATGTTATTGGAAGTTGCTTTAAAAAGTTCAATTTAACGTGTATTTTGGGTCTTGCGGTTATATTTTTATAATAAAATCGATTTTAAAATACTTAAGAGAGGGTTGGGGCCTCGTAAAGTTACGACAGATTTTGCACTTACGAATTTCTTAAGACTTTTTGTGAAAACGATTTTTATCATAAGTTTTCACTTAAGATAAAAATATGTCGTAAGATTTTTTGTGAAAATGTCCACTGAACTGTAATTTCATCTGACATAGGACGTATGTACTTCTTACTGTCTTACAGTTGTGTTCCCTCAACCTCTGGTCTTTTCTTCTGTGTCCAGACTGAAACTTTATTTTTTAACCCAGTTCTTAAAAACTGATTTGTCATATACCAACATGAACGGCATACAACTTGTATTTGAATTACGGTAGTCAGGACTTTGCAACAGGAAAACCTGCTTGGAACATATATAAAAAAAATAAGTAACATGATATTTCAATTTAGCTTGTGTGTGCTATGTACCATCGTGAACTACATCGTGGCCTTGACCTTTCACCTCCTAGTCAAATTACCAGGATTACATTTTTTGGTGGGGGGGGGGGGAGAGAAATCTTGTCTTTTCGTTGTTTACCTATTTTGCAATATTTGGCAAGGGACTATATCACCCTGAGACCATGTGTCTCGACCAACATATGGTTTTGACCCTAGATCATCAGAAGTCTTATTATAATTATTTTGTTTTAAATGTGTTGTAGAGATTTTCAGGGCTAGAATTTTTTAAGTTTATATGGACTTGCAATCTTGTCTTGTTGATGTAACCATAAAAAGATGCTTCACGGGTTATCATTACGTCCTTGAGACACTGATCTTTTAGATAATACAATGGTAGACTGGCTGACACACAGAAATCTAGAGGAGGTCGAGGTCCGCCCCTCCCCTTGGATTTTCATAGTTTTTAAATTGAAATAGTAATCAAAAATGACCCTAGAAACCACCACCAACCCCCCAACCCCCCTCCGAAAATACGTTAAAGTTAAGTAGAGTCTTATCTATGAGTGAAAGCGACTTGTCTAACACCCCCCCCCCCTTTACGAAATAAGCTTTAATTTTCAGAAAATTCCTGATTTTTTTGAAGTGGATGTACCCCCTCCCTCCGGGAAAAAATTCCTGGATCTACGTATTGATGACATATATTTTAATTAGTGCATTAAACAACAGTTTAAATTATAAAATATATACGATGTTACCGTATTGCCCCGTGTAACCTAAATTCAAGAAAACCTATTGATATTGTTTACAGGCACTGATCTCTTTTGGTGAGAAATGTCCAGGGAACTCCGACAAATATATTTGGAGAGATGGGATATATTGTCAAAAGATCTATAACTGTCCCCCAGGTAAACATAATTCTACCATTAATTTCTTAATGCTCATGTTCGTGTTCTAAAATTTAATATACAAGATGAATTTTTATATCACCGTTATAGTTGTTTTTTTGTTTTTTTTTTGTTTGTTTCATTTCTTCCTATTGCGTTGTATTGAATAATCCCATTGCTTCAACTTACTTTTATTTCAGTTAGAATTTCATTTGAACAGATTTTTTTCATTTAATTTAATATTAAAGATGTGGAAACAAATCACACATCTGTTATCCTACTTTTTGTGTTGTGCCTTGTGCGTTGTTGGTTATTTTCTAAACAATTTCAACCTCTTCTCTAAGGTGGCAGGACCAATCTCAATCAATGTTGAGTGTTTGAAATCTATGGACAAAATAAATCAAAATTGTGAATTTTCAAGGTCCCAGTTCTCCTGAAAGATATCACATGGTCTTCAAAAAATGTTTTCTTCACATCTAGACATAAAGCATGAAATCAGTTTTCATCTTTGAAAAAGAAAATTACGTCATAACTCGAGAACTATTGCAAACAAGCATTCTGAGAGTATTGCATTAGCAATACTAGTCCCCTACCGGCAAGTGTAATCTGGTTCCGTTCCCGTTAAGAATTGAAAATGCCATAATTCCGTCAAAAATTAATGAAGCGGGACGAAATGCAAACTTGATCTATAACTAATCAAGGTAAAGCCACATACCAAAAATCAGCTCAATATCTACAAGCTTTTAGAAGAAAATTGCGGAAAACCCGTAAAAAATTGAAAAGGCCTTAATTCCGTCAAAAATCAATGAAGCGGAACGAAATGCAAACTTGATCTGTAACTCATCAAGATACACTCACATACCAAAAATCAGCTCAATATCTGCAAGCGTTTAGGAAAAAAGTGCGGAAAACCAAGTGAGACAGACTGACAGACAGACAGACAGACAGACGGACGGACAGACTCAGAGGAAACCTAAAGTCCCCTCCGGTTTCACCGGTAGGGGACTAACAAGCATTCTGAGAGTATTGCATTAGCAATACTAGTCCCCTACCGGCAAGTGTAATCTGGTTCCCGTTAAGAATTGAAAATGCCATAATTCCGTCAAAAATCAATGAAGCGGGACGAAATGCACACTTGATCTATAACTAATCAAGGTAAAGTCACATACCAAATATCAGCTCAATATCTGAAAGCGTTAAGAAGAAAAATGCGGAAAACCCCTAAAAATTGAAAAGGCCGTAATTCCGTCAAAAATCAATGAAGCGGAACGAAATGCAAACTTGGTCTGTATCTCATCAAGATACACTCACATACCAAAAATCAGCTCAATATCTGCTAGCGTTTAGGAAAAAAATTCGGAAAACCAAGTGGGACAGACTGACAGACAGACAGAGGGACAGACAGACAGACGAACAGACAGACAGACAGACGGACGGACAGACTCAGAGGAAACCTATAGTCCCCTCCGGTTTCACCGGTAGGGGACTAATAATACATAAGTCATATTTTTTCCTGAATTCCTTTAAATTTCATGGTGCTGATTACGTGGTGCCGATGGGTATACACAATGATTGAAAAAACACTTCTTCGGTTTTTATTCTACCGATATACCTGGCTGTATCTGTATTACATCCACTTTAATTGCACCATTTGCCGCTGTCGACCTAAGATATTTAGCTGTATATTACCTACCATATAAACCTACAGCTATTATAGCATCAGGCAAAATGGTAGATGCGGTTTTCGCCTTGATTACAGTAATTGGAGAAATTAAGAAATCAGTAAAGGTCCATTCGGTCTAACACAGTCCTTCATTCTTTTCATTTACACCTGTGATGCCTCAATGGAGTTTGTCTAAGCATTCCCTGATGATGGGATTCTAACTAGATTTATCACGGTGAAACAATATGTGTTGTCTAGACAAAGAACATAACAAAACAATCAATGCCATTCGTTAGAGGGTCGTAGTAAAGTCTGCTCTATACGGGACATGGTAAGGTCCCATCACTTGATCCAGATACCAGAGGCCTTGAGTTGAGTTTCCAATCTGCAGGACCAATTTTCCTTCATAGGTTATCTGCTTGGATTTTTCTGGTTTCCTGCTAGGATCTTTTCTGTCAATGACAAGCTTCGGACCAAAATACTGTAGCCATTGTTGTCAAGTCTCGACTTGGTCGCCCTAGGAAATTGTTGTTGGCAACTGTACTTTGCTTTGTTGTTCAATAAAATCTGCACTTCATTCCCTTTGTGTTCCTTGTGAAATGCATTTGGAGAAGAACAGCAGTCATTTCCCTGATGTTTGAATCCTTGTAATGTAGATCACGTGAGAACCCCCCCCCCCCTTTCTCTTATTGTCGCGTCTGTCCACACTCTTTTTTGTACATGTATAGTTCTGCATGACCTAAGAGAACTAGTGTTAATGTCACGAATGATTTTTTAAATTCTCTTAAGTGGAATCTTTAACCTACTGTCCCTGAAAATTTGCATTTGATACACTGTACATTCAATATAATCCTTACAACATGATGTTATACAAGTTGACCCCAAAACCGAGACTTTCAATGTATGTAAAAAAAAAAACAACTCTTTTTCGCACTGTTATTATTAGTCCCCTATCGGTGAAACCGGAGGGGACTATAGGTTTCCTCTGAGTCTGTCCGTCTGTCTGTCTGTCCGTCTGTCTGTCTGTCTGTCCCTCTGTCTGTCTGTCAGTCTGTCCCACTTGGTTTTCCGCACTTTTTTCCTAAACGCTTGCAGATATTGAGCTGATTTTTGGTAAGTGAGTGTATCTTGATGAGTTACAGATCAAGTTTGCATTTCGTTCCGCTTCATTGATTTTTGACGGAATTACGGCCTTTTCAATTTTTAGGGGTTTTCCGCATTTTTCTTCTTAACGCTTGTAGATATTGAACTGATTTTTGGTATGTGGCTTTACCTTGATTAGTTATAGATCAAGTTTGCATTTCGTCCCGCTTCATTAATTTTTGACGGAATTATGGCATTTTCAATTCTTAACGGGAACAGAACCAGATTACACTTGCCGGTAGGGGACTAGTATTGCTCATGCAATACTCTCAGAATGCTTGTTAATTCAGAGTTTGCTGCTAAGAAAAAAATCAACATACACACTGCCCTAGATGTTCAAAGATCTTAAGTAAGATACAGCTGCACGCATAGTTTTACAGAAAATAATATGGGCTAACACATAATCCAAAATGTAATTTGCACCTAAATATTTTAGATTTGTACTTTTGGGAGTCATAGGAAATAGGTATGTGATAGAATCCATCGATATCCTTAATGTCAATATATAGTTACAACTACTTCAACTTTTCAATTGTCAACTTCCCTTACTTATGTAGCAATATACTCTTATCACCAGCATATGGGGTTTATGTCTCTAAGTTGATCCGATACGCAAGAGCATGCTCGACGTATGAACATTTTCTAACACGAGGTAAGCTATTGACAAACAAGTTGATGAAACAAAGATATCAACAGTCTCGTTTGAAGTCATCATTTCGCAAGTTTTATGGTCGATACAATGATGAACTTGTCAGCACATACAACATATTATTGAGTCAAATGCTGACTGACGTTTTTTATACTAATTGTTGGGCCATTATTTATACGCTGAACTGTCTACGGATTTTTCCGATCATGACAAGGAGGATGTGACCGGTCGGCAGGGGATGCTCACTCCTCCATGGCACCTGATCCCACCTCTAAATTTTAAGGTCTTTGTTTGCTCTGCTCCAAATCTGTATTGTTTCATTGGACAGATTGAATACTGTTCGTTATCTTCATATTTCATTTCAGATATGTTCTTGGTAAACATGCTAAAGATCCAGTCTTTCTGTATAATTTGTACATGTAGAGACGTGGATATGTTGTCAGACTGGACGTTTCGTCTTGTCAATGACCAGGTCTAAAATCGTTTGTTGAAGGGCTGTCCGTGTGTATTGTATTGTCTTTGTCTCTATTTTGTTTTTGCTGCTGCGGTGCGCAAGTTATCTAGACTCTCTCCCTTGAACTGGCTTAAGTTTTTCTCTAAACACTTAAACAGTGTAGCTGTTTTTGTCAAATTGTCTTCTGATTGAAGGTATGACACATGTTCTACTAAGACTTTATAAAGTTTACAAATATCTGCTGTCTGAATATGTCATTCTTCTAATAATGCTACTAGTTTTCGGCATGTTTCTACGTAACGAGCTGCTTTAGTCATTGTCCATGTATGAGTGCTCTGTTGTTGATCTTTGAATTAAGACTAGTAGTAATTCATACAAGAAATGATTCGTATGACTACATTTGCAAGATCATATTTTAAAAGCACTTAGTAGTGAAAAAAATCCATGACCCTGGGTACAATGTTCAAGCCCAAGATGGATACCTACACCTTTTAAAATCTTCTTCACTATTGACATCTTGAAGGAAAACTGTTTGCATGATCACAATGATAATTGTCAGCCAAAAATTGAACAAATTATTGCCTTTTGGTCTAGCATTCAGAGCTGACGCTCAAAGCTGAACTGATGTGGTCATGTATTAAAAATACGTTTGAAAACCCTACCCGTAGAAATCTAGCAGACAAAAATTTAACTACGTATTTGCATGATTACAATGTTTACTTATCCCTCGACCAAAGTCTTGAAATTCATGACACATGCTGATTAGAAAGAATCGTGTTCACACTTATGGTTAAGCTGTTTGAATTGACAATTATCTTTCAGATAAACTTATCAAGACAAAAAATTAACAGTAAATTAATTTTCAGTTAAAGTAACGAACCTTTGTGTAACTATTCTGATTTCTTTTTTTAAAAAATCGGTTTATAAGTAATCGCGTTGCACATGTTGCAACAAGTTTCAGTCGTCAAATTCTCTTTATTTGACAAGTCACCCGCTTTTGCAAATTATTGAGGAGGAAGTTCAAAAGTTTGTGATGTAGTCTGTAAGAGATGTTATTCTTTTTGGAAATATAGGTCATGAAAAAGTACATGTGTACGTAGATAATTGTTCATCAGAATTGTGGATTTTCTCTTTTATATGTAGGTCACGAAATAGTTGCCTGTGTACGTAATTGTACCCCAGAATTGTGCCAGTCTTGTTCTGACGGAAAAGTTCAACCATTTCAAATACACTCAAGTACCACGCCAGTAACAAATAGGGAATGTTTCCGACCCCAAAAAGAATGTGAAGATATAGGTAATTTCGTCACTGTTTTTTTTTTCTTTTTGCATGCATCAGTGAATAAATATACAAAATGTTTTTAAGGGAGCCTACTGGATTTTTGTGTAAAAACTGCAATAAAAAATCTTAACTTTTATACCATGTATAGCCTACACTGATATCAGTTTACATGCAAAGTTTCATAAAAATCTACCGTCTGGGTATTTTTTTTTTTTTTTTTTTGGACCATCTAAAAATACAATTACATTTACTCTACAGTTTTCGCACTTCAAAGCAAAATCTAAAAATACGAGGGTTGATCCAAAAGTAATCTCACATCTGCTATAAAATCTTTAATAATCAAAAGTTTTCAACAAAACTATATATACTAATACCTCTATCTATTTTGATTATTGTCCTAAGATTTCATTAAGATACATGCAATACTTTATTAAATATTTAAAGAAACATAACCTTGGGTCTCGTCTATCGCCGCCAAATTATACCGACGTTTTTATGACGTTTCTCTTCGACACTCATTACGAATCTGATGATACATAAGATTTACGCAAAAAGAAATGAATTTAGAGATAACATTTAGACAAAGTTCAAATAATTTTAATGCTACAACTTAAAACAAAACGGTTTATAGCAAAATGGCAGTAAAATTTTTATATAAAAAAAGCGTATGAAAGGTTAAAAAGATTTGTGGATAAACTGAAAATGAGTGCCGAAAAGTAACGTCATAGAGACGCCCTATCATTTAAGTTCCAAAACCCGTAGAACACCGGGAGGGGGGGGGGGGTCGCACTTTTTTCAGAGTATAGTATTTTGCTTAGTAAATTTTCCTATAGATGCTCCCCCCCCCCCCCAACTTTCCGATGCCGTAAGGCCGAACACTGGCAAATTCCAGGATTTGGACAGTAAATAGCTTTTTTTTGCTCGTCAGATTTTTTTTGGGAAGTCCCCCCACTTTTTAAACCGTTGCTAGGGGTCTGTTAAAAAAGTATTTCATGTACAATGTAAGCGAATGAAATTTTAAGCCAGAAACTGAAATAGATAGAGGTATTTGTATGCGAAATTTTATTGATAACATTTGATTATTAAATAAGATATAATTGCATACTGTAATATTTCAATAGGGTTAATGTTTAGAACATTATCAATTGAAGCAATTTCCTTTTAGACCTCGTCCCAATCCGAAATGGCACCGCTAGTCCAGCATGTGCAAAGGCAGATGTTTGCCAATGTGATTTATCCAATTGCTGGTACGGCCGTAATCCATGCAGTTGCGAAAGGTACTACGACCAGTGTCCCGAAGATGAATATTTATTTGTTGACGGGAATTCTCCAAGTAGGTAGTCCGATAGTCACAAATTTTGGAAAAGAAAGTAAGACTTACAAAAAGAGAAATTTAATTTATACTGTTTTGGTGTTCAGGTTGCAAGAAGTGCCCATACGGCACAAGGAAGAAAGGGAAAGGCTGTGGACCATGTGAAGTGATTGATTCATTTAGCCAGAATATGACGGCCACCGCCCCAGCTATGACTGTTTCCGGTTTGCTTTACCTTTTTTCCTTATCATCTGTTACATGTTTGACTACGAATTCTCTTTCCGACAACCACAGTTCTCTGTTCGTATTCTAACTGAAAGATCCTTGTATTTTCATTTTATTCAGTTACCTCTGAAATATCCAGTTTGCCATCCATCGTCAATAATACTGCAGACACGTCTAAGAGTGTACATGTTTTATGGACAGTGTAAGATATACTATTATGCATTCCAAATAAATCTATTAGTATTCAAGGACACTGTGTAGTTGTGCGACTCTCCATTATTTTTATAATAAAAATTTTATATGATTATAATAATGAGTTTTTTCCCTCTAAAATATTTCGACTCCATTTTTAAGTGATATATATACATGTATGGATTGAAAAAACAACTCATGTGTATCTTTTATTCTAGTATTGGCACAGGATTGCCCGTTGTTGTTGTTGTTGTGTTGGTGGTTCTATCCATCTGTTTAAGAAGAAAATGTCGTTTTTGTGGTAAGTTAGACATTATGATAAAAAATACCAAACTATTTACAAACTGTTTAATATGAAATATCACTGTCTGTTCTCCTAAAAACTTCATCCATTTATTTACAAGGCACACCTAAGCGAAGAGGCATTAGCGATGAAGAAAATGTAAATTCTGCTGAAGATAATCAAAAAGAAGATGACACGGAAAATGCAATTCCAATCGGAAGGTGGGTTTTTGAAAATGGTCAAAGGCAAAGAATGTGCACTTCGAAATATTTTTTTTCTAAATTAACAAGATGATTTTTTAATAAGAATCATTCTTGGATGGAGATTGAATGAATGGTGTAAATATCTGTTTTAGAAGACATATTTAGTTAGGGCCTTGCATGAAATGTGGGAGCCCTATAGGAATCGCATTGTCCATCTCTGTATGTTTATATTTCTTACACATATGAGTGATTATTCCATGTCACCCTCCATATGTGTATAGTTTGTTCTAAATATTATTACTGTATTAAAGACAGTTATCAATTTCCTATGGCAGCCCTTGGCAGAATCCTCTCTGATTGGTTAAATTTCTAGTTGCATTTTTGATAGCATGACGTAACATTTTTGCACCTAAGCTACATCTTTTTCTATATAACTTTCCGACCTTCATTTGCTTTGCAGTTTCACGCCACTTATCATGTCTGATTCAAAAGAAGACTTGATTAGCCATACGCCAAAATCACCAATTGTTTCTGAAACTGAACAACCAGGAGCATTTCATCCATGTGACCCGCGGGCATTAAGACAAAGACCTTTCAACGATCAGGGTTCTTCTTTAGAAGATGATTCATATACCACTAATTATCCGGAAACAACAGGTTAGTTTTTTTTTTTTTTTTTTTTTTTTTTTTTTTTTTTTTTTTGACATTATATAAAAATAATTCAACAGAAAATAATTTAATTTTGATTTTAACGTGCCATTTGATTGGATAAAAAATTACTTGATATCGTATAAATTGGGTTGCCTACGTCACAATGACTTGCGTCAAAAACGATCCGCCTGACGTTACATTTAAATTTTGTACAATTTCAAGTCATTTTTTAAGGGCAATCATCTTTTTTCTTACACTAAATGAATGAAAATTAAATTACTAGTATAATGAATGAAATTTTACGGTTTATAAAGCGTAAACTGCCCCAACCCTCTTTATACCGTATAAATTGGGTAGCTATTAAATTCATTCCTTAATTATAAAGGACAAGTATATAAACCAATAAGGACTAATAAATTAACAAATCCAATACTTAAGGATTTAAAAAAAAGAAGAAAAGGTTATAGAATTTATATCATTTTGAAATTTTTTTTTTCAAAATACGATGTAAATTCGACTTCAATACTAACAACAAAAAGGATATTTGATTAAGTAAGTGGGATAATATAAATTAGTCGAAGGCGATTTTAAAAAAAATAAAAGAAGTATAGACTTAATATCATATATCAATTTTATTTTCATAATTCATGATGGAATTTTTTTATATTCTTTAGTAAAACTTGAAACTTCAAAACATTGTTTGATTTACTAGTATTTTCAATTTTAAATTTTGCTTACTATGATCAAGTGTATAATTTATGTCGTAGGCCTGCAATTCTAATGTGTTTGATTTGAACGATATTTGACTCTTTCATAAGTATACTGTAAATCTATTTTGAAATGTATTTAAAATATATCTATACCTGTTTTTAATTTTCCTGTCAGAAGTCTCTGAAGAGACGAATCTTTCGAATCAACAATCATATACAGACACTCCATTGGTGGACACGATTGAAAGAACGGAAGGTAATGCTAAACATAAGTGCAAATTTTCGAAATCAGATGTTAATCTTGTATAATAGTAGTAGTAAATGCTAAAATAAATATTGCTTAACTTGAAATTTGCAGGTGTCGACTATATATTAAATAAATTAAACGAGGATAACTGTGAAGTAAAGCAACCAGTTCAATGTGAGGAAGAGACATTAAATTCACAGACTTCCCAGAAATTTCCACATAGCGATTTCACACATCAGAAGGAGTTGTGTGATCAGGTTTTTCAGAGTTTAACTGATGAAAAGTTGTTGTGCTCTACTCAAATTTCAGATAAGACTGACCTTAAAACACATATAGATTCTTTTCATGAAATAACTCAACAGAGAGATAAACCCTCTTGACAGTGAAGGGAAAGATATCTTGCTCTTAAAAGGATAAAAGAGTATTGTTTTCACTCTTAAAAAACAATCACGTATATTCCATTAACTACAGTTATGTATGGTAATACATGTATTTATCATCTAGTCTTAACCATACTGTGCCAAATGGTCAAGTGAGCCCTATCTGTCTTCCTGTCATAAAAATGAATAATGTCATTTTAAAACCTGAAGAAGAATATGACTTCAATAAACATCACATGGTTATATATAATAGATACTGTAAATCAAAATTTTGAAGAGTTTTGCCAACAGGTATTTACAGAAGTCGCACTGTTCTATTGATATTTTTTTTTAAAAAACACTCCCATTTTTTTCCAAGAAAAAAAAAAGAACTTCGAGTCTCTTCTGTGTCCTCTTTTAAAGCTCCTTATGAAAGTTTTGACGTTTCTTGCCCATAAATCTGTATGTACTCTAGATTATATTTTGCACACATCAAGAAATACCGGTACGTGTATCATGTACATAAATAGCTTCCAAACTAAGAAATCATGTTATTTGTCTTGGTTTAGAACCATAATAGAGGGACTTATTGGATATTCATTTGCCGTAAAATTGAAGGAAATTGACTCGGGTGATCATTATGGCAAATGATAATTTTTTTTTCTTCTAGTCAGTGTTCTTGAATAAAGAACAGTAGTCATCGCCATAAACACTTCATTCTGATATTTATAACGTCATCAATGATTCATATGTGACGTATATTTGAATAAATACATTTTTACAATTGGCATTTTGGTTTTTCTTTATTTCTATTGAACTGTTACACACTGTCATTCTTTTCTATTTACAGAGCTTCAAATTGTAAATTGTCTCCTAAGTTGAATTACTACAAGATAAATGTTATATTGCATGTGTCTTTTAAATACATGTAATATACTCGTTTAAACATTCTTTGACATAAAAACAAACTATTTTCATATATATATATATATATATATATATATGCAATTTTTAAACCCAACTCAAACAGAGATAAACATCTGGAAGAATATATACAATATGTCTTAAAAGCGCAGCTCAGGCAAATAACAACATTCAGGTAAAGGACAATATATCCGGGGAAGAACGAGAGGCAATAAGAAGTCTGACATAGGATGATTCCATTATAATTAAACAGGCAGATAAGGAAGGAGCTGTTGTCATAATGGATAAATCACAATATCAAAAAATGGTCCTTGATCAACTGAATGACCAAGAGTTCTTTAGAGAACTCCCAAATTCTGAAGAAAGGAAAACAATGAGAAAACTAACCAAATTTACATCTAAATTCTCAAATATTCTTACTAAAAAGGAACAAGAATACCTTCTTGAATTTGAAGTTAAAAGCAGTAACTTCTATGGACTTCCTAAAATTCATAAATCAAAGAAAATAAAAGACGGCATTCAGGGAAGGAAATCAAACTATGTTAAATTAACAGAACCAGGAGACTTAAAACTTGGACCCATAATTGCTGGTCCCTCATGTCCTACACAGAGACTAAGTAATTTGTTAGATATAATTCTGAAACCTCTTTGTAGGCTAGTACCAAGTTTTATCCGTGACGATATGGACTTTTCACACCCCATCCCTAAAAACGTTGAGTAAAATGCTATTTTGGTCAGCTTTGATGTGACCAACTTGTATATGTATGTTCTTCTTTTTCAAATTAAATTTGTTCTGTCAATCTCTTTAAAAAATAATACATGTATAACAAATGCAGCCCTTTCATGAGGTCAATCCAGATATATCGACTTCACAGAAAAGCATATCGTGCTCGGTCGCTATGCTTTTCTGTGAAGTCGATATATCTATGGATCGACCTCATGAAAGGGCTATATTTCTATAGTAGCGTAACAAAGGTTATAAAATGTAGAGTGCTTTCCTTCAAGTTGTTTCGCCGACATATTGAATAGCTTCCTGTAGTACATGTATTTGTAGGGCAGATCCAGTCGAAGGTGAAGCCAACAATAGTTTGGCAAAGTTGCAGGTAGGAAAAGAACGCTTTGATTTTTTTCTCTCTTCTAAGCCAGAACCTTTTCGAAGTTTGTCCGCCTGTCAGAACTATATAACTATCCGAAAACTTTTTGACTTTTCATCAATTCTACTACATGAACATGTACAGATGTTTTACATCAAATTTTAACACAAATCTTTCTTGGGGAAAGATAGAATCCAAACTTCCTCAAATGAATGTCCTTGTACCCCGTCTAAGAAAGGTGTTAAAAAGTAGCAAAATAGGGGCGGAGATGTTTAGAAATCTCTACTACTAGTATTTTCTAGATAAGACAAACTTACATACTATACATGTATAAATTTATTCCTGTTAAGGTCAACTAGTATGGTCCACAGTGTGGTAGGTGAAATTTCACACAGGAATATGATAAACTATGTAGAATTTTCTTCTACCAGAACAGCAGGGTTACAGTTTAAACTAAAATATAGATACTAGTACTCCCATGTAGGGTAAATTCAGTTTATTCAAGTCATGGCTCCTTGGGCTAGGGAAGTTCCACAGTAGGGAAGTTTTACATGGGCATATCTAAATGTAAAGGATACAATCTTAAACACATTTTCTTCACAAGAACAACTACTATTTCTGGTAAAAAGAATACATATACTATTATATGAATATACTATCGTGAATGTCTGCCCCTCCCAGTTCCTGTAGCAAGGTTGGGGCCACAATAGGTCATGTAGTACCGAATTTTTAAAAAGAATCTACATGTAATTTTTTCCCCTCTGTCATGATCCAGGTTTTATGATGCAACTTCTTATTTTCGTTGTACTTTGTACATTTACATCGAACACGCAGAAATTGGACAGTTCTGGTGCTGAATAAAAGCTACTTCAAGATTCATAAAAAAAAAAAATGAAACTTCAAGCAATTGTACTTATTTCTTGAACATGCACAGTCCTACAAAGCCAAAAACTACATTTATAGTTGTAAAATATTAACCACTATGACGATGAGTTTATTAACCAAAGATTACTATCCGTGAAACTAAAAAAAATTTTTTTTAAAAAAACCCATTTTGCACTTGTTAATTAGTGCTCAATATCCTAAGTACATCTGTGAAATGTACATGTAGATAATAAAAATAAATATGTACAGGTTGCTTGCCCCCAACTGCGAAAATGAGTAGAACTTCTAGAAGACAACTTTTCTGCCAATTGAGTGCAGACAACAAGTGCCTTAGCTATACATAACTGATATTCTCAAGATTTAACTATCATTAATATTTAATTCTGCTTGAAAATCAACAAACACTAACTTTAAAATCTGCTTTATCTATATAATATACACCGGGTAAATAAAGCGGTTTACTACTTCTTGTATTTAAAAAAATATTCAATGTATTTATAATTTACTCCGAGATAGGTTAGGGGTCTTATTTTAATGCTTGTTTGAGTATTTGTTGTTTAAAACCCTTATATAAACAAAATTAGACCTAAAGCACGTCAGTAACCCATAGTAGGAAAGACGTTAAAAGACCAAGCATTGTCAAATATGTACTTTTAAGGTAATAGATAATACTTTTCTGTAATCTGTATTGATATTCCTTTTGATACCATGTTATACATTTAATATACTTTTTAAATAGCTTGAGATTCCCCATCTGAATTAAGTTTATTTCCTGTCTGATATAGGAAATGGCTTGGTTTCGACAGAGGCAAGCAGACTCTTACTCCACTTTGAAGGAGGAATCTGCAATAGAAATGAAAAGACATGGTGAACAATTTGATAAGAACAATCGAAGAAATTCTTTACAAGAAATACAGGAAATTTGCACAGAAGATTCGTCCTATTATGGAACCTTAGAAAATGAAAAAATAGTCAATGTATCGGAGGAGAAATTGACGACCTTACAGGCTGCATGGAATATCATTAACATGATACAGGTAATGTGCATTCTTACATTTAAAAGTCACCGAGCCAAACTTGAGAAAAAAAATGTACACAATGAACGGAACTTTCAATTTCAGAGGATACACTGTACGAGACACATTGTTTCCCTTTTCTACAAGTCAAATAGCTGAGGAGTATTATTAGCTTATTTTTTGTAGTAAAAGACTGAACATGATTCTTTAAAAATTAAGGTCTGGGAAAATCTTTCTTAAACATCGAACTCGAGAACAATATATTTAGCATCTCATTGAAATAAATGAACATGAACATTGACGGATCATAAAGCTGATAAAATGCATCTTGACCTAAGATTCTTAAATCTTCCTTACTTCGAAACACAAGCTAGAGTTCTGCTTTGGAACAACACCAACAATTTCTGGCAACTTAAAATTTGCTTTTATCTGTATCGCTTAATTTTTTTTTAATTCTTTTCAGGGAAACGTGATTTTGAACTCTCCCTATGTGCTGTTGGTCGGAGGAGTGCCGGGGATTGTCCTTACTATACTCGTTGGTTACATCAGCGTCCACACTTGTCGTCTGCTTATTGACTGTCAGTATGATGAAGATGAACTCGGTAATAAGTCGAAAACGAGGCACACAATGCATGATATAGCAGTTCACAATTTGGGAAAGAGAGCAGGCGTCTTGCTCATTGATGTACTCCAAATTATGTTGATGTTTGGAAATTGCGTCTTTCAACTTCTGTTTTGTGGTCAGATGATTTATCCATTATTCCCGGGAAACCCGTTCGGTTTCAATGGAATTATTCTACTCTTTTCACTTGCCATGTTTCCGTTCGCATTTGTTAAGTCCATTAAAACGGTCAGTTATTTCAGTTGCGCGAGTGTGGTTGTAACTTCCTTGTCGTACGTAGGTTTAATCTCGTACATGTTCTCAAAGATTGACAAATGGGTGATGGAAGAATTTCCACTGACCACTAATATCTATCAGTCGTCAGTATCGTTAGGTATGATTGTGTTTGGATTTGATTCACAACTTTATGTTAATTCTCTTGATAGCAAATTGAAAGAGGGGTCCAACATCAAGAAAATGATTGCATACACTCATGTTATGTCAGTTCTCTTGAAGATTTTCTTTGGTCTTGTGGGTATTTTTACTTTCGGACAACTAACCCGTGAAACCATCACCAATAATATTGACATTGTTCCCTTGAAATATTTCTTTAATATTTTATATCCTTTGAAGTTTTTTCTCATATTTCAGTTTCCATATTTTGCAATTGTCGACCTCATCCAAGAAAAACTTTTTCAAGGAGTAAATATAACGCGCTTTCCATCCTGTTTAGATGAAGAAAACTCTTTAAAATGGTGGGCTATTATTCTTAGGTTATCATTAGTACTTATGATTGTGATTGTCTGCTTAATTTTTCCGGATGTTGCCATCTTGACCAGTTATACAGGTTCCACAGTCGGTGCCTTTATTATGTTTTTACTTCCGGTATATTTTCATCTGAATATGTACTGGAGAAAAATGCATTGGTACCATATATTACACGATTACTTTGTGCTACTTGCCGGTGTGATTGTTGTCTTTTGTGGTATTTTTTCTTTTGTTCAAAGAGAAATTGTGACGAGAATGTAGAAATATTTAACTATATAATTCAGATAAAAGAAGAACAACTTCAATGTGCTTGATTGATTGATTTGAATTGAACATATTTTATTGTCTATAAACTTTACAACTAGGATTGGACAAAAGTTTTTAAAACTTAATATTCCCTTTGCCTACATATGAATTATATATGGGGTTCAGTTTTAAATGAATAAACACAGAAAAACATAATAATCAGGGGAACAAACATTCAGTAGAATACATTCATTAT